GCTTTTTCAAAGCCCACCTTGCCTGGGAAAGTGGATCTGGATATCTCCTGGGAGTGCAGAACATTAAAAGAACCTTGGAACTCCAACCACCAGACACCATAGCTGATGTGGTGGGATCTTTACCTCCTCCTACGGAAAGCTTCCTTCCGGACATTTTTGTCGCAGTGCCGGCTTGTGGTGACAGGTGAGTTAAAGGATCTGGCCATAGATCCAAGACCCAGCCACATGTCTTGGGAATCAAATGCACTTGAAATCTCACTAACCATATCATCTTCATACATGCCTTTGGTATAGACACAGACATAACTTCATCACATTTGACCATGCCAGTTACCTGGCCTTTCCATTCTTTATACCTAATTTTGAAATAACAATACTCCTACTGACTTGGGTAAGAATTCCCCCTAATGAGCAAGCCATAGCACCGCTCATCATAACGAGTGAAAGCTGAAGGAGAAGCAGGATGCTGTTAAGACATGAATTTGGTGATTACGAAGTTTGATTAACATACAGAAGGTAGGTCTGTTATTTTACAAAAGGAAGGTTTCCTGTACTGTTCTACCAGTGTATTTCCCTTCAACGCAGAGGGCCATTCCTGGAACATATTCCATGCCTAGTTTTACTGCTGGTGTGTATACACAAATATGAATAAAGTGTTTATGTGGCACAGCTCACTGGAAATTATCTACCATTTCCAGATGTGGGTAACTGTTGAATAAAAACAGATCACCTGTTGATTTTTACAAAGGCTGTGGAATGACAATTTGACAGTAATTTGTAGCACATCTTGAATGCACATAGCCTGAATTTGAGACAGCAGCCTAGGCAAAAAGGACACTGTCACCCAATGTCCTCCGTCCCCTTCAATAAATACTAGCCTCTCTGCCGTTTTAAAATGCTACCTGTCGTTGGACAGCCTCTGTGAATAACGATGAAATTGGTTCTGCAATTTGTCTAGCTTGGTAAGGATGAGTTCATACATAGCACATCATATTTGCTGTCTGAAAGCTTGGGGACAGCCTATGCTAAGTGGGGAGAGGTGTACCTCCAAACAGCGGTATCTTCTGTGTATCTTAGGCACCTGTCATCGGAGCGAATGGGATAGGCTGGATGACCTGGAGGCAGCCGTGTCTCCCCATGAATTACAGAATGAGCCTAGCAGACTAGATCAAACACATAACCTTTACAAAGACAAATCTAAGTGATAATTCCAGCATTTGTGAGCTGGAGGGTGAGTGGACTGAGAGAAAAACTTTTCATATCCTTCTGTCTTCTGCTGTGACACAGAATTCAATCTCGATATAGTCTTAAAATAAACACCAGAGAGGAATTATTTGGTCAAACATAGACCTCTGCAGAGATATCTGAACTAGTTGCCTGCTTTTCCTTTGTAGCCCATAGACAGAAAGGGATACTCTTAGGTTCCTGTTCCTAGGTGATACATTTCATAGAATCATAGAATCATTTGGTTGGAAAAGGCCTTTAAGATCATTGAATCCAACCATACCTGTCCACCACTAAACCATGTCCCTAAGCACCTCATCTACCCGTCTTTTAAATACCTCCAGGGATGGGGACTCAACCACTTCCCTGGGCAGCCCATTCCAGTGCCTGATAGCCCCTTCTGTGAAGAAATTTTCCCTAATGTCCAACCTAAACCTGCCCTGGCACAACTTGAGGCCACTTCCTCTTGTCCTATCACTTGTTACTTGGGAAAAGAGACCAACACCCACCTCGCTACCCCCTCCTGTCAGGCAGTTGTAAAGGGCGATAAAGTCTCCCCTCAGCCTCCTCTTCTCCAGGCTGAACAACCCCAGTTCCCTCAGCCGCTCCTCGTATGATTTGTGCTCCAGACCCCTCACCAGCTTTGTTGCCCTTCTCTGGACACGCTCCAGCGCCTCAATGTCCTTCTTGTAGTGAGGGGCCCAAAACTGAACACAGCGTTCGAGGTGTGGTCATGCTAAAGTAGGAGGCTTAAATGAGTTAGATAAATTGTGCCTTCAAAGTGTTCCCTTTCTCTTCATTTCATTTGGAAAGGGAGGATGGCATATGTACAAAACCCAAAATGAAAACAATAAAATAAATAAAGTAAAATAAAACACACAAAAAGCCAGCTTTGTGTCTAGCCTATTTTCTGACTCTTCAAACTTATTTGTAGTCTTATTTCTTTTTTTTGTATTTTTATGAATTCAAATTTTAAGGTGACCGCTGTCTGAGGAGGTGGGTACTGAAAACACCTTTACAAGTGCTCTGTAGCTGGCACCTAACTGTAGGGCAGGAGTGAGGGAGTGAGGCTAAATGCTGCAGAAAAGTACACCGCGCCGCTGGCACTGGAACCTGAAGAGCCCACCTTTCTCTTCTGCAAAAGTAATGCTGTACAAGTTGTGGCTTAAAATGTTATTTTTTAAATAGTGTGTATGGTACAGTGGCATCTTATGCATATAAAGTATGTATGTATGTACGAGCATTTCTGTATGTGCACACCCATGTGCGTGCAGGTACATGAATTGCCCATAAGCTGGTCACCGTGGAATTCCCGCTTGGAGAAAGCAGGGTGATGTAGTGGCCTGTCTGTCACTACAGTCTGCAGCAGAGAAGCACTCTATCCTAAATTTATCAATTTCTGTATTTGGAATTTATTATAAATGTATGGAATTTATATTGAAGCATTATACAAAAAGTACCCTAGATAGCAAGCATTTTTAATCTTTTCTGGATTTTCGGAGTAATTTTTTGCCCACCTAGTCAAAGTCAGCATCACTATCTTCTGCCGTAACCGAACGGTCCTAGGTACCACCTACCGTGGAGCATCGCCACAGACTGGACAGACTGGCGATGGTGGCAGGAGCTGGAATGGGAAGTGGCGGTTGAGGGAGAAAGCACAAGCGCTTGGCCAAGCCCATCAGATCAGAGGATCTGGGAGCAAAACACGACACTTGCTTTGCAATATGCCAGTCTGGGACCCGAGAGACACTACGGTTCGCCAGAGCAAGTCCTCATTAGGATCCATTAAGATCAGTACTGCCCGTGCGACGTGCCCAGGGACTCAAAGCACCACGTGAAATGCACGATCCGCTTGGGCTGGGGCGAGGGCGAGACTTTTAGGCCATCTGTTAAAAAGCTTTGGGAGAAACCAGGCTGGGGCTCGCCAGGGGCCGGTGGGCTTGCTGAGGGCCAGTGGGGATTGCCGCGGGCCGGAGGGGCTTGCTGAGGGCCGGTGGGGATTGCCGC